AATCGAATGGCGGCTGCAAAGCGCTGCTTTCGCGTCTGCATGATTCCGAGATTCAAATAGGCTCGGCAGAGGACGTCGACCAGGCTTCTCTTCAGCTTTTGTCGCTCCGCCGTCGGCATTTGGCGCAGCTCCGGTGTGGTCAGCTGGGGTAAAGCGGTGCCGACCTCGGTTTCCGGTCGATCCGCCAGATATCTTTTGAGCTGCTCCCGGTTGTCGAGGGCCAAGTTGCCGGACGATTGCTTGGCCGCTTCAAAGTGCACCTTGGCTTGGTCCATTCGGCCCTGACGACGCAAGGCCTTGGCGAATTGATAGTGCAGACTGGTGAGCTGATCGAAAGCAGCCCCTTCCGCCAGGGTGAGGGCCTGCTCAAAGGCCGCGATCGACTCATCGATTCGATCCAGCTCGAGCAGACAGCGCCCAAGGTTGTGGAAGGCGTCCCGAGACGAAGCGGGATCCCCGGCCGCGATGCGCAGGTGGGGAATGGCTTCCTCGAATCTCCGGATTTCCGCGAGTGTCAGACCGAGAAAGAGATGGGTGGTGGTGTCGGCATCGGGATCTCGACCCAGCTCGGCCAACAGTCGAAGCTCGTGCTCGAAGAGCCGGACGGCCTCTTCGTAGGGCGTTCGGCCCTGGGAGTACAGGGCGAGGGTGCCCAAGTAGAAGCGGGCTCGGGGCAGATTCGGATCCAGGTCCAGGGCCTTTTCCAGATGGACCTGCGCGGCCTCCAGCTGTTTGAAATCCCTGAGGGTCCGACCGAGCAGGAGATGGGTTTGGGGGATCGGTCGCGCTTTCACGATCTCTTGAAACAGTGCTTCCGCCTCTTCCGGTCGCTCTGCCTTGAGATAGGCCGTGGCGAGAATAAACGCCGCCTCAGGGTCTTCGGGGCGCGCGACGTAGCTTTCCCTCAGCTCGCCGATCGCTTCTTCGACCTTGCCGTCCGCGAAGAGGGTGTGGGCGAGACTGCGTCTGAGCTCGACATCGTCGGGATGCCTGGCGATCAGCCGACGAAGGATCCGAATCGCATCGGCGGCCCGGTCTGAATGTTGGTAGAGCGAGGCCAAAGCTCGGCGGGCCCTGCGGTCGTCGAGGATCGTATCGCCGGCGGCCAGGAAAGCGGTCTCGGCCGCGTCCGGTCGATTTTCGGCCAGCTCGATGGAGCCGAGAAATAGCCAGGTTTCGTGCAAAGCGGAGCGATAACCATGCTCGGCCAATTCGGGCTCGCCC